CGGCCCTCCAGCCAGTTGGCGACCCATTTGACTGTGTGGGTGTCTACACCACAGCCCCCCAGTTTCTTAATGAGAATGGGGTGAGGGACGGTGTCGAAAGCTTTCCGGAAGTCCAGGAAGACTATGTCCACTGCTACCCCTGCATCTAATGATCTGATCGTAAAAGGCCACCAGGTTGGTCTGACAGGACCTGCCACTGATGAACCCGTGTTGGTTGCCCCTAAGCATGCAGTCCCCTGGCAGAATGAAGGTTTGCTATATGATGAGTCATATGAATATGAAAGTAACTGAGATACTTCCTGAATATCTCCATACTCTTATCAAAAGTTGATAATGAAATAAGGGCCTGTAGAAAATACGGTTTATGGCTTTTAGTTGGAATTAGACACACAAATCACATATACATGCACTTATGGCTTAAGCAAGTAAATTTCTTCTTCTTAAAGTAAAATGACTTACAGGTTCAGTTCATGGTCCTTTCATACTATAGCTAAAGCCAGCAGGAAAGGGAAAAAAGGGAGAGAGAGAACTAGAGGAAGTGTCAAAGGTGCAATAACATAAGAGAAAACAATACTTAATTGTACATTTAGAATTTCATTGTCTGAATTAAAGGCATAGAAATGCTGAAGCTTCTGACTTCTAATGCTTTATACATTAGACAATGACAAAATGCTTGCATAAACTAAACCATTAAGTCCTTAAAGCTGTTAACATATGCTGACTGAAGAATCCTAATTATTATTTTAAAAGTTAATTTCAGCTTCTACTGCCCAGGACACTCAGAGTACACACTAAAGCAGTTCAGTGACACTGCTCCTGAAAATTTTTCCTCTAAAATGTTTAAACACTATATACTTCATTAGTAATGCTAGTAAGTTCAGATTTAGATTCTGATTTCTTTTATTTCAGCATCAGGAAAGTCAATTTAGGAATCCTACAAACATTTTAGTGCCCTTTCCAAGTATACAAGACCATGAAGTTTTCTGCCACCGATAGGAAAGCCCAACAAAACCACTCCAACTTTAACCCTGTTTCATTCAGGGTCAAAGTTAAGGTGGCTCATCTAACTTGTACCTTTTGATCCTGTAGAGATACATCACCACAGCAGCTCTGTGCTCCCATGGAAAAGCTTCCCTTTCCATTCTGAAGTAGCTAGAGAACCTTTATCCATACCATAATGGGGCTATGCATCCTTCAGTGCATGTGAAGAACTAGGGTACATTTCTGCATGGTACCACCTTGCGCCACAGACTTATCTTCAGATGTCTAGTTCTAGTCTATCAAGCATGACGGTGCTGGCCAGGGTTTTTCCATTTATAATCAAAGTAGAGCAGGAGTCAGCAACCTATGGCCCACAGGTCCTATCTGGCCACAAAGCTATTTAACTAAGCCTGCAGACACAGCACTTCCAGCAACAGTTGCTCTCTCAGTGCCACCATAGGGAAAAATGCTGGCTGCAGGTGTTCTCCCCAAGACGTTGTGCAAAAAAAAGCACTAGTGGCAGTTGAGTTCATTTGCCTCTGACCCAGACTTGATTAATCCAGTCTGCAGCTTTAAAGGGTTATCAAACAACGAAGTAGAGATTTTACAGACTCTAGCTAGAGTCTGGATTTTTTCCTCCGGCCTACAAACATTTTGATTTTTTGTTGTGTTTATGTATTTTGTACAAGTCCAAAATGATTTTTGGGTTTTTTTTTTTGTTTTTTCACATCAGAAGGTCTACAGTTGTAGATGCTACCTCACCTTTAAAAAGACATGATTCCTCATCAACACGTCATACCCAGACTCACCTACTTCACCACCCAGACAAAAGTTATATATTCATCCATCCTGCTTCTAACACTCAAGAATTGAAATAGAAATTTGGGGTCTGAAATTTTCTTTGCTGTACAGAGTTTAAGAAAGTCCTTGTAGCAGCTTCCATGCTTTCCCATCTGTTCCAGAAAGACTTGCTGTTACACCAAACAAGAGGTGGTTGTTTCCCCCTCCTTGTATCATTAGCACCACTCCTACTATTTGCAGTCTGTTCACATTAGAAGTGCACAAAGAGCTATAAAGAATTTGATACATTCTTCTGTCACCTACACAGGTCAAGTCTTACTTAAAAAGAACAAACGGCAAAGTCACATTATCTTGTTTACTATTTACCCTCTCAGAAAATTTCTATCATGTGCATAAATATGCATTTGTTTCCCAGTCATGGGTATGAACAACATTTATTTATTTATTAGTAAGTCTCATTTATTCGGAACACCACCGTTTGTCCTTTCATGCCTCACACTTGTAAGCCTAGGTTGTCGATGAAAACAGCTGTATACATCTGAATTGATTAAATATTGGTTTGACTGCAGTTGAACATTTATCCTCTCTCTCACTTTTGGTCACAGGAGTTGCCGTAT